GAGGTTATACATTCCAAAAGGAAAGGGTTTCTTCTGTCTGGTTCACTCCTGATCCCCAGGCCTGGATGAATGAAGTAGACGTGTCAAACTTGAAGGAAGAAAATGTATTTTCTGAGACAGAAAAGCCAGATGAGGAAGATCATTTAGTGACTGGGATTTCTAGTGATGGAGTGCCAATATCAGGCATCCTGACATCAAGTGACACGTTCAGCTTTTCCCCTTGTAGACGGCATCAAGGGAACATTAAATCATGAGTGCCAGGGCTCTGTGAATGTTTGCTAATTAATTATACTGTCCAAGTCTGTTTCTGTGTGGGTGCATAGGGACAAGAAGAGAAGAGATTCTTTGTTGCACTTTTTTCCTGGGGTCAAATTTCAGATCTGATACATCTAGCTGGTCCATTCTCCTGCTACGAAATGAAAATTTAGAGACTGCGCAGTCCATGGATGTACGTGTGGGGTTGTTGAAAGGCGCATCATTGCAGCTCCAGGTTCAATTAGGTTTCCAGATGCACCTGTGCTTCACGGTATCCACGGGGAGGGGACGGAAAGTGGTCGATCCCCACCTGATGGCTTCTGGTCAAAATCTGTTCCTCCAGACCTTATGAATATGGCAGGAGATGGTGTTCCACACAGTCAGGTGGATTCTTTGTGTCATGACTTAGCCAGTGTCAGCAAGGGGGGGCCGATTCATTCACAAACCTGGTCGTCATGCACTAGTGGGAGGACTCATTCCCAGCTGTCTCTCTGCAGATGACCCCAAGGTCACCGCAATGTCGGGAGATGTGCCCGAGAAACTGCCGATCCCAGTGGAAATCAATATGGGAATAAAAGTGCAGTTACAGAAGGAAATTCGATATTTTGAAGGAAGTAAGTAGAATAACCATTTCTGTCCATGAAACCCCAGGAAGTCCTTCCCGTTCTATGATCCAGACTAGATTCAACTGACCTCTTGAGGCTCCTCCTTTGCCAGAATTGGGTTTTCACAATCAGAATGGTTCCTCTTTAGTTTGACTGAAATGCCCCAGTAAATCTTTTATGTTGTTATTGTTCTTTTGTATTTCTTCATTGGTGGTTGTGTACCAGATTCCACTGGTGGATATGTTCGGATGTCTGAATGTAAGCATGGAAAACACAGGTACTCTGTAACATTCTAGCCCTTGAATGATCGCTGAGACTCCAAGACTGAGTTCTAACTCCTCTTTGTACTTTAGAAATACTGAAGGTTTTTTTCTAAATATCTTCAGAATATGAGAAAATCTTAAAATTGCTTGAAGGAGTGCAAGGACCTCCAGGAGTGCAGAAAAAATTTGTTGTATATGCCATGAAGGAAGCGGCAAGGTGAGTGGGAGGAACTGTCCGGTATGTTTCACAGCGGGGCCCAGTGCCCTGCTGGGTGGGTGGGGGGGGGGGGGTCGGGCCCTGCCTGGCGTTTCTCAAACCCTGGTCCTCACTCAGAGTTCATGTCGTCCCCAGTTATTTAGATCGATATATCAGAGTCTCTCCTTCTTCTAAGCTCGAGGAACCCTCTGTTCACACCAGAGTTTGAGGTGGGCCTTGACCCTGAACTGGCACTCTTTGTATTAATGGATTGTCCCTTACCATGCAGATGTGTTTTCTGTACTCCTGTAAATCGAGCTTCTCTTTGCATTTTCTACAGAGCCTCCTGCATCAAAGGTTCTTTGGGTGTCTTTTGGTTAATGACTTGTCTCTTTATTTTCAGATTTAAAAGAGAAGACTTAATAAGTCACCTTGAGAAGGTACTAGAGAAAATAGAATATGACCAGTTTCTCAACAGAGGTGGTGGCTCCCCAAACTTATAATCCCGTTATCGCAATGATCAATGAGAAAGCAGAACCAGTTGGCTGTCCTGGAGTGCGACCAGATATTGTTGATGCCTCCCAGCACGAGTTAGTTAAGAATTGTCTTCTTGCGGCTAAGAAAATGCATTGCAACTTTCCTGTTATAAGTTTCTCTTAGTAAAAGCAGGGCTTTTGCCCTCAGCATTTTGTTTGAATGGCTAATTTGGTGTTTTTGTGTTTTTTCCACTGAGTTTGGGGATATTATTAAGTCATCAAGTAAATACTATTACAGTTTTTGTTTCTTTTGTGTGTTCTGTGTCTCGTTGGCTATTATGACCCGGCACTGTCTACCCAGTTCTTATTCCCTTTTTCTGGGGCAACCCCTCAGCTGATTCTGGTGCTTGTCCTGAGGGGATGACTCACACCTTAATTCCTGGAGGGTCTGGACCATTAGGTGTTCTGCCTGCATTGTGTTGTTGTAATTTCCCATTAACTAATCAGAGAAACTTGGGAATACCAAGAAGAGCTCTAGATATTTCACACATACTCCTTCTTAGGCCATGTGTCGTGGCAATCCAGCTTCCTTGGATAGTCGCATTTCATGTCTCCATACCACAGAGGAACCTCATTTTTGCTCACTGATGGAGAGGATGAGCATCTAACGTGGTCATTTGGGCAGTCTCAATTTGCATTTCAGGCAAGTAGTGTGGTTGAAAACAATTCTCCATTTGCTGATCCTAACATTGTGGGGAAGGGAAAGAAAATTTTGCTACTGGATACAGAAACAGCAGTAATGAGAGAAGGTCCTCATGCTGTTACCCTTTAATTGCTGAAGACATGAGTCGTGTCTCTTACAGAAACAGTTCCATCTATCTGACCCTACAATAAAACATTCCACTTCAGAGTTTATGTTGACCCCATCCAACAAGGCACTGACACACCATAGTAGAACCATAACTGAGACATCAGAAGATCATTCCACAGTTCAGGATGATGGGAAACATAATAGCAGTGAGAGTCATGAGCATATTACCTAGGAAAGATGTTCCGTGTTTATAAGTGATGCAGTGTGGAATTCCATGATGTTGGGAAGACGTTTTCTAAGTCCACACATGGTGTTCTAAAGAGTACCGTGGGTGAGAAAGAAAATCCCTCCCCAGAATAAAGGTGGGTTCATGTACAAAGAGCTGCCCTCTCCCCGATTATTTTTGAAGGAGACCAAAATGATCGGTCTGCCAACTGGCAGTTAGCTGACTGACCACTTGGTGCCCTATCAGGTGCTCAGTGTTGGTCTGTGCTGCTGGCCCATGGAGCAGTCAGCAGTATCTGCAACAGGATCAGTCTTGCTGAGTGGAAGTTCATGTTTACGGTCCATGCATAATCTGCATCCCTGCTTCCGTGACCATGATGCATCATTACTGCTTGGAAAATGGAGGGGTGCACCTAGAGAGGTATGGGGGTGGTCCTCGGAGCTCAGAGTGGCCGAGAGACAGAAAGGAAATGGGGACCTCAGTCCTACAACCTTAAGAAACTAGATTTTCCAATAACCTGAAAGGGCTTGGAAGTAGTTTCTCTCCATGAATCTCCAGTTAATGACCCAGCATGGTCAACTCCTTGACTTCAATTCTGTGTGACCCAATCACGAAGAGAAGACCCAGTCAAGCCTGCCTGGACTTCTCACCTACAGAACTGTTTGAGAATATATTTGTCTTGTTCGAAGCTGCTAAATGTGTGTTGATCGATACGCAGGAATAGAAGTCTAAAATACATTGGGCCTGCATATTGGGAAGTAAGAACTGGAAATCAAGCATGATGTTCCTTCTCTTCCAGTCCTCTGGTCACTGGGAACGTATATGAGGCCATAGATGCAGATCAGAGAACTTTCTCTTGTTCTGGGCCCCACCCCAAATTGCAGGTTTTCAGGTCACTTGTTGATGGTGCCACACGACAATGAGTTCTATGTTACAATCAGCCCCTGAGGTAAGAAGTGACTTATTGCTGGCCTTTCAAGCTGAAGCCAAACTCTGGTGATATTTACTGATAGGGGAAAAAGCATTTTCCCCATCAATACTGTATACCAGGTGCCTTGGCAGAGGTTTGAATGCTAAAACAACAAAAGCACATGTAGGCAAGCAGCTGTAATTGGAATAGTCATGTGGTGAGGATCATTGTAATTGCCTGTCACTCTCCAAGATCCGTCTGTTTCTGTATAGGACATATAGGTAAGTTGCAAGGGATGTCCTAGAATCACAACCTGCACCTTTCAAATCTCGATGCTGCCACAACCAGTCCATTCCCTCCAGGATGAAGTGTTGTGTTTGGTTTCCTATCTTTATAGGTAGGTAGTTCTAGGGGCTTCTACTTGGCCTTTCCTACCATAGTAGCTTTCATTTGACAGGTCAGAGAGCCAACATGGAAATTCTATCATCTTCTGAATATTCTATTTATACACTGTGAATCGAAGGAAATTAATAACCAGACAGTGGAGTCAGGGACCAATCACTGAGATGGGCATGAGGTAAAACCACACTGATTCCATGATTTCCATGAGCCATTTCTGTAACCCATGGAGTTTTAGTTCCCAAATATTGGTGTCAGTTCAGAGCCAGTGTCAAATCATCTCTTAGAATTTGGACTACTGACTTTCTACCATGCTTTACTATCCTCCTAATTGGCCACAGGTCCATTGGGGGAAGGTTGCGGTAATGATTAACAGCATAAATACTTGACAGTGTAGCATGGTCTTTCCTCGGGGGCAAGCCCACAGATTTCTGACCAACAGAGAAGAGAAATGCCACCCCGGAGCTCCTCACAGATGTCTGGGCTCCCCTTAGAAAGCAGTTTACCACAGACTTGGTGAAAGTATCCTCTGGACCTCCCGAAGTGAGTGAACACCATCTTATATGATAAATTCACTCTAATGTTCCAATCTCCTTAAGCCTTTGGATTTCTTCCTTTGTAGTACATCAGGAAAGCTCTTGCATTTCTCCTTAAGTCCTTTGGGACTTTTCCAGTAAACCAAGGGTAGCAGACTAAATGTTTATATGGGTCCCCCCAACAAATTCATGTTGAAATCCTAATGGCTGATTCCATAGTATTGGAATGTGGGACTTTTGGGAAATGATGAGGTCAGCAGGGTGGAGCCCTCATAAATGGCATTAGTGCCCTTATGAAAGGGAACCCAGAGAGTTCCCTTGCCCCTACCAACATGTGAGGACACAGCAAGAAAGATGACAGTCTGTGACCCAAGAAACGGGCCCTCGCCAGACACCAAACCTGCTGATGCTTTGATCTTGGACTTCCCAATGGACTTGCTTATGCCACCCAGTCTAGAGTAGTTTTCTTAGAGCAGCCTGAACAAACTAAGGCAGCAACAAGCAAACGATGAGAGGCTTCCCTAACCCTGAAGCAAAAACATTTCATCCAGAGTCTGGGCTTAATAAGCCTACATCAATAAATGTGGTGTGTGATTCAACTCTATTTTCCTTCTACCTCCATACCTCACTGTAAAGAACTACTTTCATGCAAATCCCCCAGTATTTTGTGTATATGGATTTTAAAATGATGGAGATTTTTGGTGACTTTTGTATCTCTGCAAATGTCACACTTTGCTTTATACTATTTGGCCTGTGGGAATATGAGACTTGTTAAGGGATTTGGAAGGAAAGGGAGGACAGTGGGTGTAACTTCTGGGGCAGATCAGCGGGACCCTGCAAGGCTGCTACTTCAGGCAAGACCATCACCGATTCTTCAGGCAAAGAGGAAATAACCTCCTCAGACAGGAGGAAGGTTTGCTTCTACTGGCAAATTATCTTTTAGGGGTTCAAGTTACCCAGTTTCATCAGAGTCTGCATCTAGGTCCCACTCTGGGTTTCAGGATCCCAACCATTACTTATCAGTGCCCTAACCTGAAGGCCAGAGATCTTGAGAATTTGAGCATTCACACTGTGTGGCAATCCAGCCAGTCACAGGATTAGACTTTGCCTAAGGTTTGCCCACATCTTGACCCTGAAGCTACAAGAGATAACTGGAGCCAGTTCATTGAAGCTTTCAGATCCTTATGTGGACCTTGAGGTGGGACTTTCAGGACCTGCACATACTTCATCCTTTAGTTCTCCAGCAGATTTCAAAGCAATCATTGATCTCTGTTATACCCCTTATTTTGACAAAAATATTCACAGGTAGCATCTACTTGCTCACTTGTTCCTTTGCTTTTTATAGGGACTTCATTATAGATACCCAAATGTGATCATTTGCGACACTTATTTGCTGCTTGTAATGGACTACCAGTATCCATTAAAAACTGGAATAAATGTCACTAAGGGTTTTATTTTTTTCCTACACGTTCAGAAATAATACTTCTTTTGTTTCACTTGAGTTATTTAAATTTTAATAACATTTAAAAACAGGAACAATTGCTGGGTCATAGGGTAGCTCTATTGCACTCCTGGGTATTTACCCCAAAGACACAGACGTAGTGAAAAGAAGGGCCATATGCACCCCAATGTTCATAGCAGCAATGTCCGCAAT